TTTGCTAAAGGTTTTAGCTAATAAACATTGCTGAACTGAATCTGCATGGTCTCCTGGAGTTCCTTGGGCTAGGCCTGACACTGACACAGTAACTTCCTATAATTTGATGGCAGTATTTCCATGCTTTATAAAGGAGGAAGCAAATAAAACAGAGTGATAAGTAAAGTGCTTATAGTATGACATATTTAAGTCAATGCATAATGTTGCTTGGGTGAAGGGAGGCTGCTCAGTGCAGATTACACCTATCCTCCAATATCTAGACTGATTTCATATTGGGAGCAATTTGAGGCATTATATTTGATCTGAGTAATCTGGCATCGCAAATCTTTCTCCTCCTGCTCTCTTATAATATTAATAAAACTTTATGAAGTGCTACTTTGAAAAGTTCCAACGGCATGTTAAGCTTGAATAGTATACAGAGATTTTTTTTTTAATGATTCCTGAAACTGAAATTTTTATCTCAATTAAATGGGAAGCGGACCATTTTTTTAGAAGCACTACAATGTTTTCTTGTTGACCTGTCTCTTAATGGCTAAGGTTCAGCAACACCGGTTTTTAATGTTTAGTTTATATAGCCAATTTTATTGTTTTTAAATTATTGCATCATCTATCCTTTACTGGCACTGCTGAAATATTCCCTGAGAACCAACTTACCTGAGAACAAAAGCCTCCCTGTAAGTTAACAAGGAGACGTCACTGATAAAGTAGAGTGCAATAGTAAAGACTTATGACACCTTTAACTAAATAGGAAGGCCCATATACTTAGTGAGAAAGCACTTTCTGCATTCATAATATACCAGGTTCGACACCTAGATTTTTAGAACATGCAGCTAAGTGCTTCTCTGGGTTCCTTTTGGTGGCAAAGTGATTATATAAATAAAATAAATTAAAACTATTAATCTTATCTGAAATCTTAGAGTGATGTTGCCATTCAGTGAAGGCAGTACTAAGCTAATTGGATCACTGAATAGATCAATATAAAGGCAGTTTTTAGCATTCTTCAGCAGATGCTTGGAGCATATCTGAGAGTCTGTTCCTAAAGTAGGTAAACTGAACTATATATTCTTCTCTCACCATTGCACTGGCATAGCATAACCTTACAGGGATAGTTTGAGATTAGAAACTACTTTTTGTAGTGGTGGTAGATTATTTCTGTGAAGAGCTTAATAGAAGTACATTCCTTCTAGTGTTCACTTTCTCAGCAGCTTCTGAAATATGTAACAATAAAGTCCTTCAGGCCAGCTCAGATAGACATTACTAAAAAATACAGCTCTTTAGTTCTCATTCTAGGAAACAGTGATGGACAACTGCTGCTCAAGATATTGGTTCTTCTGTGGTTTGGCATAATTCCATTTTGTTTTCAATGTTGTTTAATGTTGATATTCAACATCTGTAAGAGGTAGAGGTTTGAAATGAGGTACTGGTAATGTACTGGTACCCAATATTATTTCAACTCTATTAGTCTGACAAAGCACCTCAACTCCATTAAGGACTAGCTGAAAATTATTAAATAGAAAACTGAATCTTACTAAGATATTTTGTTAATTATAATTTTTTAAAAGGCTTGTAGATTAGGAACTATAGGTTAAAGGCCCTGGTTTATCTTATACTTAATTAACTATACATCTGAATTGTCAGCACTGAGTAAACTTACTGCCTAATCACTTATGCTTAGCATTTTCTGCCAGTGGGATTCTAAACAAACCATAAGATCCTCTATCCCTTTCAAACTGCAGTAAAAATATTCAAATGGCTGAAATCTAATTAGCTCTAATATATTCTTGCCTGAAATTTTGCAAGATTTTATACAAGAACAGAGAGATTTTGCAAGTTTCACATATTTTTAATGTTTTAAAAACATTTTGGAGGATCAGTGTGAGCCATTTGGAGAGTTCTGGCGTTCTGTTTAATATAACATCAAAATCAGGATTACTCTGCCCAAAGTCATTGAGAGTTGGGCAGCATACAAGTTTAAATCCTTCTCCTCCTCCTCGGAAATCAGAAACTAAAACCAAAGCTAGGCATTGAAATTTGAAAGTACTGCTAAATTAATATGGACTGAGAATCTCTCTGGTTTAGTTGTTCCCAGTGGCAGGAGGATGCCAAATGGGAGCAACTGATAGCTGAACTGGACCATCAACTGTCTACATAATGTAATATTCCCTTCATTAAATAACTTTTGTTTGCCATTTTTTCTTAACTGTGCTAGGGTATAATACAATATACAGTGGAACCTCGGTTTACGAACTTAATTCGTTCCGTGACTCTGGTCGCACCCCGAAT